GAGAAGATTCCCCTGAGGCCCATCTAAGCAATAGCAGGAAAGATGAATCTAATATAAGAAGACATATTAAAACTCAAACACTTTCATATTTTTGGCTCTTGGACGACATATGCTATCGTTTCCCCCTAGTGCTGAAGGAGGCAAAGCAAAAACAATGAACTCCCACTTCAAAGACCCAATCTCATTCACAAAACAAACCTCGGATAGCAAGTTACGGTGAACTCCGCCATCAACCCACCTCCATCGTCAACCAAGGACTTGCTCTCACTGCCACTCCCAGGCCCCAGGAGGACCTAAACATGACAAAATGGGTTTCTGCAAACAGCGTGTGCATTGATTGCTGTTGTTTCCAATGGGCGAGGGGCAGTCCTCTGTCGAGTCTAATCTATTTAGGACATATTCATCATCAGGCGCTAATATGGGACTCCCACTTCGTGGCTTTCAGAGGAGAGTGTAGCCGCCCCCGGGGCGTAAGCCATCATTGTGTCCCTTAATTAGATATTCCGCATGCCAGGGTGAGGGACATATGTCTTTTCACTGTAACAAACACCACGAGCGAGCGGCCCAGCGCTTTCAGGCGCCCGGCCACATTCAGACGGAGGCAGCGCAAGTGCGCGCTCTCCCAAGGACCTGCGGCCCCAGCCGGCCCGGCACAGTGGGCCTGCATTCAGCGATCGGTTCCGGTGTATTAACAGCCTATGAACTTCTCATCTGCTCCCGGACTGGTGAGGATGTCACCTGCAACTGCTGGACCAGCCGCCCAGCCTGTCTCCTCGGAAGCCAGGGCCGGTCTGGGAGTGTTGGGCCTGACATGCTGTGCGTTTCCCAACACAAAGACCGGCATGTGGGGAAACGATGGAAGAATGGAAGAATGGAGCAGCGCAGCAACTTCTCAGAGCAGAAGGTCAACAGCTGGGAGCACCGTCCCACTCAGAGTCGGAGGACAAGCAACGAAAAGCTAACCTGTTGAAGTTTGGGGCTCTCAAAGTTAATTTTGCCACATAGCCACCCTGTTGGCCAGGGTAGAAGGGACTCACAGGGCCTCGGTATGGATTAAAGTATGCACCCCCAAAGTATGTGTTGTAAGCCCTCTCTGTACCCATGGGCCCAATCCCAATTGGCAATGGGTTTGCCTTGCAATGGGTTTGCATTAATGCTAATGAGATCGCATTAATGTGGGGTGTGTTTTAAGTCAGTCTCTGTTGAGATATCAAAAAGATTGAAGGAGCAGTGGGCCGGCAGAGATGGGGGAAGAGATGCTGTGCCGTGTGCAGACCACCAAAGACTGAAGGAACAAGGGCCTTCCCCAGACTCACAGAAAGACAGCCTTCCTAGAGATGGCGCCTGGAATTCAGGCTTCTCGCTTCCTACACGGTGAGAAATTAAAGCCACCCCTGGTGGTATTTTCTGGAATAGAAAACTAAGACAGGTTGCCTTGGCTGTGATGGAGATCTAGACGGCCGGGTCTCTCCTCCCCCAGCGTCGTGAAGGGGTTCAAACCACTGGCTTTTTGCTTAGCTGCTGAGCTCTTCAGCGACACAGAGCCAGGGGTGCTCCTATGAGACCCTGATCTGTGCTAACAGGCCACCTTGGCTCACAGCTCGCTGCCACAGAGTCAGTCCCCCTACCCCCCATCTCCACCCATTTAGAGTTTCCAAGACTGGAAACCTTTACGGGGCGACAGCCTTCTCCTCTTCCCTCGGATCGGCTGCTGGGTTTGAATGGCTCACCCTTTGGTTCACACACCCAGGTTTACTCAACAGCCCCAAGTCCTTTATAAACAACTCAGGTTGGCTCATTTTCACAGCGCCTGTTCTTGTGGCGTCGCTGGGTGGTGCGCATGGTTAAGCAGCTTGGCTGCTAACTAAAAAGTCAGGTGTCTGAGGACACCCTGAAGGCCTGGCAATCTACTTTAGAAAAGCCAGTCATTGCAAACCCTGTGGAGCCCAGCTCTACACACACACACACACACACACACACACACACACACGGTCAGGATGAGCCACCAGCTACTCCATCACAACGGGTAACACCATTTTCTTCTGCTGGCAGACTAATAGATGACACACTATTGGGACCACCCAGCCAAGGATGGAGCATTCCCCGGGTGCAAAGAGAACAAAAGCAGTGTGCAACAGGAGCGCCATCACCTAAGTATGGTGACTGTGGGGACAGGGGGGAGGGCGGTTAGTGCAGGGCAAGAGCAAACCCAGAATCAGAAAAGGGAGGTTGTCCAGACTCCATGGATTCTTTGTGGGACCTGCAGGTGCCCAGCAAAGGTGAATGACCCTGCCTGCCTCTGTGGGGCAGGCTGCATCTTGGGGAGGGCCCTAAACCTCCCAGTGACACTGTGTGGCAGCTCCAGGAAAGCAAAGGGACTACTGATGGGAGCCTTCCATGAATGGATGAGAAGCAGAGGGGTGTGTGTGTGTGTGTGTGTGTGTGTGTGTGTGTGTGTGTGCTGGTGGTGGTGTCAGTTCCTATATCCACTCTGGAGGTTTGTTTTCCCCAAAGCAATTGGAAGGTAACTAAGGAACACGTTGGTGCCTGGGATTCATTTGGTCATTCAGTACTTACAACCAAACTCACTGCCTTTGAGTTGATGCTGACTCATAATGACTCTGTAGGACAGGGTAGAACTGCCCTTGTGGGTTTCTGAGACTGCATCTCTTTACAGTAGTAGAAAGCCTCAGCTTTCACCCATGGAACAGCTAGTGGTTTCAAATTGTTGACCTTGCAGTTAGCAACTCAACATGTAACCATTTCACCCCGAGAGTTCACTCATTCAATACTTATGTGGGGCTTCGTATGCCCTAGGCACTGCCGTAGGCTCTACAAAAGTATTTACAATTTAATTTTAGGTAGGGAGGTGCCCTGAGTTGAACCGGGTCCTCCTCATATATCTGTTGAAATCCTCACTCTTGCAGTAATTCTAGGAACCCTGTTGGCACGGTGATGAAAGCACACAACCACTAACTGAAAGTTTGATGGTTCAAACCCACCAGCTGCTCCTTGGAAGAGAGCAGCAGCAGTCTGCTTCCACGAAGATGCACAGGCCTGGGAATCACAAGGGACTTCTCTGTCCTGTGGGGCTGCCATCAGTGAGGATCATTGTGAGGGCAGTGGGTTTAGCAGGGATTTGGTACCCAAATACACGGCCCCATTTGGAAACCGAGGGTTTCTTGTATTAAGTTAATACGGGCATATGGGAAAAGATTGGGTCCTGCTGAATTATCAAAAAGAGCAAATTAGTTGCACTCAGGGGAAGACAGATGACCCGGAAGGACCCACCTCAAGCAAAGGAATGCCAGTGATTTGTGGCAGACACCAGAATCCAGGAAGGAGCCCACGGGAGGCAGCAGCAACGCTCAGACCCGGACTTGGACTTTCAGCTTCCAGAACTGTGAAGAAATCCAATTGTTTTTGAAAGCCACCTACCTAGGACATTTCTGTTATAGCAACATTAGGAAACTCGGACAAAGTGGCGAGTGGGGAGACCTGTCGGGGAGATGGGTGAGGGGCTACCATCTGTTTCTGGGGTTGGTACCTTGAACGGACGGGACTTACCTGCTTCTACAACCAACAATGTGAGCCATTTCTTGGGATCAACCTCTTTCTGTATGTGTGCATGTAAGCACCACTGGTTTTGCTTCCCCGGAGAACCCAGCCTCACACAGGGGGATATGTGCAGTGCAAACCCTCAGACTCCACAATGCATCCTGGAGCCTGCTGTCCTGGAAGCAGCATAATGGGGTGCAGTGGTGATAGATAACACCTGTACCCTGGAGCACCGCAAGAGGCCTCTCCAGAAGCAGTGCCCCGATTCTGTCCCTGTTCTGTCCCAGGAGCAGCATCCCCATTCTATCTCAGCCCAGAGAAGGCAAGACCCGGAAGTGGAGGAGACCAGGAGGAAGTAAGCAGGCAGGCGTCCAGCTGCCTCTGACCAAGCTTGGTGTAGTTAGCCAGGGGAAGCTGCTTTTCTGGCCAGAGGCACGGCTTTGACACAGGCCAGCATTCACGAGCCTGCTTTCCCTGTACCCAGTACTCTCAGCACCCAGGACTTACAGACCTGGAGAGTGGTGACTACCTCTGCTCTTCCCCTTGATGACGGGCGTGTGAACCCCGATCTACGGCTGCTATGGACTGAACTGTGCACACCCCCAAATTCTATGGCCCAGTCTTGACCCAAAGCTTCAGTGAATGAGACTTTGTTTGCAAATTGGGTCTTTGCACATAAAATCCAGCTAACGTGTCCTACTGGAATAGGGTGGGTTCTGATCCAATGTGAGTGGTGGGCATTCTTACGAAGGGAGAGAAACACATAGACAGATCCAGGGGGCAGGCATCCACATGAAGCAGGACACAGAGGCTGGAGGGATCTACACGCCAAGAAATGCCATCACCTTCCTCAGAACGTTCTCCCTCAGCGCCTCCAGATGGAACCAACAATGGCCAAGTCGCTGGTTCCAGATTTCTAGCCTCCAGACCGTGAAACAAGACAGTTCTGTTCTCACAGAGATACCCCACCCCACCCCTAATTTGCGGTCCGAAGTTGTATGTAATGATACAACCCGGGGAATATCACAACTGGGGAGCATGCAGAGTCTGTGTCCTGGCAAATGAAAACGTGGCCCTATGACTGAAACAGATCCACGGCCAGAACCAGGAAGGATGAAGGGGTGCCTACTGGTGTTACGGCTGGAGTGCTATGAGCCACAGATAGCACTTCTTGTCCCCTCGGTGGGACACAAGCAGCTGCCAAGGGATGTGGGGAGAAGAGAGCATGAAATTGGCCCTGACCTTCGCCTCCATGCAACGTGGGAAGCAGTGGCAGTCACTACAGCTGTGCCCTTTTCTGTCTTGTTGCCAGGGAGCAAAAGGGACTCCAGGCCCACCCTGAGAAGGTTCTAGAATATTCTGATGTTCCAGCAATCGGGAGGCTGGATTAGGTCCCATCCTGGTAAGAGACCTCAGGTTCCCTGGAGTTCGCCCTCCCACAGGCGTCCAGGGAAGCTTCCCCTATAAGGAGAACCACGGCTCTAGCTTTGGGCACATGCTGACGGGCATGCGCAGTGGAACAAGAGGCACGGGGGAAGGAACAAGAACAGTTTTCTCTGGTCTGCCCTCCTCTGAGCTCTGCTCGTTTTCTCACCTGCAAAACGAGCAGGTGCCCGACTTTTACGTCATGTTCAGCTGCGTGAACAGAGGTGAGAGCTGTTTGCAAACACGGAGGACACGGCATGCCTGCCCAGGTGCAGCCCCATCACCGGGGCTCAGACCTGCCGGGTGTGGCTCCCCCCCACAGCACCCTCATCTTGAGCAGAGCTCGTTCCTCGAGCACTTCACACAACAGCCTGTTGGGCAATCTCGGCTATAACGTTTCTGAAAACATGTTCTGACTGATGCGCAGGCCAGTGGGAGGTGTCTCAATCCTTCCGCTAACTTCTAAAGATAGGAAGCAGGAGCGGGAGGGTGTGTGCCAGGCTGCCCGTGACTGAGGAAGCCTCCCTATCTTATCTCTCCTCTGCCCCCAACTTCCTCATTTGTCTTTCCATCACGGTGTTGTCGTTCACTCCCCATTCCCCCTAGAAGGGTCCATTCCCGACCCCACCCTTCTGCCTGTCCCCTTCCCATGCCCACGCCCCCTCTTCTTTCTGCTCCACGAGCCCTCCTCCATCCAATAGGCCTTCTTGGACAGGGCCGTCAGCAAGTAGCCTCTCTCACTTCTCACCTGCCCTCCGAGCTGTGGTCCCTGGACCTGCAGCAGCGTCTCACCTGGAGGCTCCGGGAAAATGCAGGCTCTCGGGCTCCCTTCACACGCAGGAGCCAGACTCCTGGGGTCCGATGGTTGGTGTGCACCTGTCTTTCGCTGCTCTCAGATGACCTTCCCTGGCTTCCGACCGAAGGCCTCACCAGTCCAGCTGTGCCACCGTTGGGGTCTTCTTTGTCACCAGACATGGTTAAGGAGACATTCACCCATGTGTACTTCATGTCCTCAGGTAAGTCAGGAAGTACTGGAAGGCAGGAGCTGATGCACATTGAGAGCATTCCATACAGGGAGTTTGGGCAGTCTAGAATCCGCCTCTTTTCTCGTTCTTCTAACACATACTCGTGGAGCATCTAGGAGCCCTGGTAGTGTAGTGGGTTATGTGTTGGGCCGCTAACCATCAGGTCAGCTGTTCAAAACCACCAGCCACTCTGAGGGAGAAAGGACGAGGCTTTTTACTCCCGTAAGGAGTTATAGTTTCAGAAACCCACAGGGCAGTTTTACCCTGTCCTATAGGGTTTCTGTGCGTTGGAATTGACTCGATGGCAGTGAGTTTGGACGTTCTTATCAGTTCAGCCCTGTTCGTGGCG